AAACATTTTTGAAAGTATAAGCTAGTTAGCCTTATTTATCTTATTTTAGCACGGGTTGTAATAATGTTACAACTACAACTATTTGAAATGCCTGTCAACATAGATATTGTTTCAATCCAGTCATCATGCTGAATGTTTACACTAAACTGTTATTGCATGTGAATTAAAACAATACATTTAATAATAATAATAATAATAATAATAATAATAATAATAATGGTGATTTAGTTAGAGAGCGTTGCATTTTCTTTAATTTTCCACTCAGCAACTACAAATGGTTGTTCTTTTTTATGGTGTTTTCTTGAAATACTTTAAGCAGCAATTTAGGGTTACCAGGGCTCGTGATGAATTGTTTTAAAAAAGTATGAAAGTATAAGCCAGTTGGACTAGCTTGTTAATTTTAGCACATGTTCCCCAAACTAATAATGTTACAAACTGTTTGAAATACCCGTCAACATAGATATTGTTTCAATCCAGTCATCAAACTGAATGCTTACATCCAATACAACACTAAACTGTAATTACATGTGAATGAATTCAATACGTGTACAAGTTTACTGATTCACTGAAATCTCTTCTGCAAACTGTTCAGTTGAACTTTAAACACATGCAATGATAAATATAATAAGTGGGAGTTTCCGAGGGACCTGGTGGGAACCTAGAGGATGTGTGAAAGTGATTCATGTCACACGTAAGAAGTTTGTTTGTGTTACTAAAGAACATCTTTGACTGTTCCCAAAACACATTTTGAGCAACACTGAGATTTGTTTCTAAGCGCCTAGCAAGGTGCTAATTATTTCCTGAAGTATCTAAAGTGTTTTGTTTGACAGCTCTGTGGAGGGAAACTCCATGGAGGAGGAAGTGTGACACTCTTCGACGCTGCAGAAAGATGAGGGTGAACGAGATGTTAATGCAATCCCAATGCAACTCAGCTCCATTAGATTCACAGGTATATTTCAGTTGCAGTAAACCACAGAAACAACAAAACACAGTTCATTAAAATGCCAAGCTGTATATTTACCTTCAACCCCACATTGTTTAGATTCGATGGCACGTTCGAGCACTGGAAGGCTGATTAAACTCAAATCCTTGAAGCAGCTAATTGGTGCCTGTTTAAAATAAACTGTAGAAAATCAGTTGAAATGTTCAAAATCTTCCAAATGTAATACTCAATATTTGTTTTTGTTTCAAAAAGAGACATTGTTTTGTTCAATACATTCCCATAAGCGCCTGATGTATCAAATAACATACAAAAACAAATCATATATGTAAATAATAACCAAATATATATATTCTTTATTTTGTTAAACGGTGCAATGAACACTTCAATTTCAGAAAATTCAAATGTTCCTATTATTTGATGGGTCAGGCTTAAAGGGTTCAATTATTTGAAGCAGCCAATTGGGCCAAACCATGTGCTTTAATATCAGAGGGGGGTTTGGCCTAGGTCAATTAACTTTGTATTGTGTGACGATGTTAGTAACCCCTTCTGTGTTATTTGGTTTGCCCAAGCCACCCTGTTCTTTCTTATGTCACTGAGGTTTGTTTGTTCAGTTAACACCTTATTTTCTTGCTGTTTTATCAGTGGCGAACCGTGTCTATCACAACTGGACCTTCTGTAAACACACACACCCCCCCGCCGCAGCCCATTGGCTACAAATCAATATATGATTGGTTGATCAAACTGTCAGTCCAAACGTACGCTCTCATTCAGTGCAACGGCCAGGGCATTCGATCAAGGATGTAGAATACCTTGGCTGAAGGATATTCTACCCAGAGACCCAGAACAAGATCTGATTGGTTGCTTTCTTTTCTAACACAAAACCACTGAAATGCGTAGTGCATGGTCCGAGAAGGACAAACAAATCAACGTAACACTGTGATATTACAGATCAACAACACAGATACCATTCTCATTTATTCATTTTATATACATTTTATTTATATAATTAAATCGATTTTTTGTGTTCCAGGGTATTCTCTGAATACCTTGAAGGCCCTGACGGTTCGCCACTGGTAGTCAAAAGCCATCATTTAGTATCTCTTTGGCGATTTTGCACCTTTTTATGATTTAATTTCTCTATTTGTCGTTATATGTTTATTTGTGGTTATTAGGAGTGGTATGTGTCTTTTTGTGGAACATTTTGGAGGTCAAAGCCACTGCCCCTGTTCAGAAATACATCCTTCTGTATTTTATATTCTCTGAGGTGTTAAGCCCCACTAGAGGGGGCCTCATATTTAAACTGGAGGTAACCGCACACTGTTTAGGCGGTTTCCTTCTTGCAGAAGTGAACATGTTTGACACCCAAGTCTTTAAATGCAAATGAAAAATGTTTTGGTATATTAAAAGATAAAGTGTGGCTCCTCTTATAGGCCATTCCCCTTTTGTGTATGTTTGTCATATTTTGTCCTTTTAAATTGTATGGTTCTTAATGAGGTTTGTAGTAATAGTAGTACAGTAGGTGTAGTTGCTTTTTTTATTTGTAATAAGACATGTGCAATAGCGATGTTGCGCAGTTGTAACATGAATTACATCTACGTTTATTAAAGAAATGTCACACACAACATTTTGCTGTGCACGTCACTATGAAGTAAGAGGCTGCTGAGTGAACTGAGAGGCGCCACAGTGTCACAAAATAGCAGCACTGAGTTTTTTTCGGTCTCACACTCACAGTTTTGTTTCCTGTACAGCCATCAGTCACATTGCATAAAAAACATGGCTGTACGGAGAAAAGACAGCTTCCTCTGGGGAAAAGGTACGCTATCATTTTTATTTTAATCAATATAAGGAGGAAAAGCTACTGTTCAAAAAACAATATCAAGGCTTTTGTGGGATTTGGGAGGTTAGTAGAATTCACTTCAAATGCTGCTAATAGATTTTGTGGGTAACAATCTATTCAGTAATGTTGACTTATCTTGTATGTTTGGCTCTATATGTGGAAATTATTTTTAATTTTCTACAACAGATACTTGACAATTCAGTTGTATTCTTTATCATTTGAGACCAAATTAAAACTTATCTAGCTTTTTACATGTTACTTTATTTTTACGCCACAAAATTGGGGACTAACCCACACAAATTCAAATAAAGTGTGCTTTAATTAACCCAAAATCAGCCTTATTAATGTAAGATATAATTTGTAACTTTTGGGTATTCAAATCTCAAATAGATCTATGTTATCTATCTTTTTCAGTTGTGTACTTAACCCTAAACGTTTCCAATAAGTTCAATTTTAGCGGAACATTGTAGGAGAAACACTTATTTTAAACATTAAATTGTGTTGTTATCATGGGGCCAGTTTTGGGAGAGTAGGAAACCTCTGCGGATAATTTGGCATCCGGTAGAAAGCTCCAGAACATCTGGATCTAGAATTGTCCTCTGACAATTCTAGATCCAGATGTTCTGGAGCTTTCTACCGGATGCCAAATTATCCGCAGAGGTTTCCTACTCTCCCAAAACTGGCCCCATGATAACAACACANCAGTTGAGATCTTTCTTCACTTTGCTACCTTTCCATTGGGAAGGGGTTTACATTGTTGTCGTCATTACAATAAGCAAAGTTAGCATCCACCCTAAGCGCTTCTTTCCTTCAGACCCCTTTGACACTTCTACACTTCACGACATGCGTACTCGCTCCACAATCCGTCTATCCTTCTGAATCTGCCCGAGGGTTTCACAATAGATTAAGCTCTTCCCACTTTGCCTCATCATTTCCAATTACAGCAATACAAGATAGAGTCCATGTGTCACAGACAAAATGGCTTATCTACATTTTGAGACGAATGACCAATGATAGAATAAATGAAATCTAGAAAGATCGAAAGATCCACTACAGAAGACAATACCTTTTTCATACACACACTCTAGCTGTGAATATTGGATTACCAGCATGGGCTGATTTAATTCTCTCCATCTTCAATCTCAGTCATCGTATAATTATGAACGTCATAAAGTATACATAACGATTGTGTCACAGCTCCAGAATAGAGACCTATAGCTACTCTGTACAGGAATGAGAAACCATTTAAATAGCGTTATCATCCATTAAATACATAAAATTGGTTCAATATGACTAGAATCTTTTCAGTTTTTTTGCGAGGTAAAAGCAATAGAGCTACAGAAGTTTTATAGTATAGCAGAATGACAAAAGAGAGAGAACCAGAACCCACTCCTTTCAACGCGCAAAGGACAGAGTGTCTTCAAAGTGCTTACAAAATGAAAGAACATAAATACAAGACAATAAACAACAAAAAACTGGGGAGGCTGCAATATAGAATACTTAACATTAGTAGCAGAAGACAACACAATCAGTCATTAAAATAGAAAGAGACTTATAATACAAGACATTAAAAGAATAAATACAATGAGATAGACAACTAGATTACAGGCTATGTCTATATGATGTGATATATAGTGTGGTCATCTAATAAGACAGCATACTAAAAAGAAAGTCGTTGCAGCGCTAGGCGATTTTAAACATAGTAAGAGTTTTAGTCGGACTCTGCAGGATTTCTTGAGTCTATGTCTCTCATGTAGTGAGCTTATTAATATGACTGACTCTGCTTTTATAATTCAAATCCTGTACCTTTTTAATTATGTGTTCAGTGACAACAGAATAGCAACAAAGTTATATGTAATTGTCACATCATCATGTGTAAATAGTAGTAATTATATATAATTAGATTAAATTAATTTTCATCACTGTTTTTGCTGCGAAAAGGTCATGTTTACTATACGTGGAATAAAAAAATTTTTGTTGAATCAACGTTTTGAACAAGAGCTCAAATGTAAAAAGAAGGCACTATATTTAATCACTAAAACTGTACATTTATTAAAAGTAAGATTGGTTGATTAAGTTATCAATGTTTAAATATTCTAATAAAAAGACATTTCAAGTCAACAATAATAAATAATTGTTACTCCAAATAGCCCAGAGGATATTTGACAAAATGGACTGGCTATTTCTTTTGTATTACTGGGGTATGTTTGTGTCCTTATTTTTTATTCTTAGTTTCTTTCTTTTATTTGGCCTGTTGGTCTTTGTTGCTTGTTTTATATATCTTTTTAGAACTTTTTACAATGTTTGCAGTTTATTTGCATCTTGTTAAAACACATTGTGAATGCTCGCATCCATTTCCCCTACCAACTTTACACCTCCGTGTTGTCCCTTTGAGTTCTTCTTTTTGTATTAATTTGTCTCTTAGTGGATGTTTTCCATGTTTTCCATTGTAATGGGGCGACTGTGGCTGCGAGGGAGTGCGGTCGTCTTTCAACCAGAAGGTTGTGGGTTCGATCCCAGCCCATGCAGTCAACATGTCGATGTATCCTTGGGCAAGATACTTAACCCTGAGTTGCTCCCGATGCCATGGCCAACGGTGTGTGAATGTGTATGCATGTTAGGTCCTAGAGTAAGGTACACTGCTCTGTATGAATGGGTGTGAATGGGTGAACGACATGTAGCATGTAAAGCGCTTTGAGGGGTCGTAAAGACTGGATAAAGTGCTATATAAGTACAGTCCATTTACCATTTATATATTTTTAGGTAATCTTTCATCTTATCCTGGTTGTATTCCATGTTTTTTCTTCATTCTCTTCACTTTGTTATGGTTTTGGACATATTTTATAGATTATTTTGCAATAGAAGTTCACGGTCACTTGATGAAGAGTTTTGGTCGTAGGGGCCATGGACCTGCACCCAGTAGGCCTGTTCAGTTTTACTTTTAGGACACTATCAAGCCTTCCTTCGATCACTTCTCTGGTAGCAGATGTTTGTCAGTAGGACTAGCATTCCCTGAAGTCTGTGCAGTAGTGCATGCAGTTTGCAGAAGTAAGGTCAAGACTCAAAATCACACGCCAAAAATAGTTAACCAACATTTTACACTTCAACAAATGTTACTTCCCAATTTGAACCTTTCTGAGAAACGCTTTGCTATTCACGTTTGGCAACTTCACAGGGCGATTCATCTATACAAATGTATTCACACATCATGCAGGATTAAAATACTTTTCCTCCAATGCCTTGTGTTTCAGTCCTATCAGGAGGTGTTGCCTGTGACCTTCCTCTTTCGCAGAGAAACCAGGTCATAAAACGGATCTTTGGTGATGCATGTCCTGAAAGAGAAGTTTTGAATTCAGTTTTAAACTGAGATCATCAAGAGTAGAAGTAGATTTTTCTCATTGCCTTTATGTCAACAAAGTGACCATGTTCTCTGTATTGCAGGCATTGTCACTTCTACAGTAGCTTGGGCAACTGCTAGTATTGATTATTAATGAATATATGAAATCTATATAATGAAAGAAAATAGATTAAAAAAACAAATATTTACAGCTCTCAAGGTATAATCTTTAAATTGTTTGACTTACAAAGGAATCGGCAATTGTTACTAGTAGACAGGTTTTTCCGGTATTTTCTATACATTTTTTCTTGATAATTTCCTTATAGTTTCTGAAATTTTTGAAATATTTATAGACATTTGACATGTTTCCTGTGAGTTCTCATAACGTAGACAGTTCTTACCTGATCGCATCCATCCAGGCGTCCCGCTCTTCGGATCCGGCGGCCCTCAGCTTATAGGACTGATGTTTGCCCTGCACCACTCTGCCTTTGTTCTCCGTCTTGCAGGCCTTGATCTTTTGTCCTTTAGGGTTATATAACTCCAGACAATACTGTTCAAACACAGACAAAGACACACATGCTGTACTGTTACTTTGTGCCTATGCTTTCTGTTTGTTCTATGAGCTTTCTGATTGCAGATTGTGTTTTAATTGTTTATTCAAAAGGGACAGAGCACACTTCTAAACATCAGTTTAAAAATACATGGTCCCACAGCTGTAAAAGTGACACATACACAGTAAACGAGTGGAAAAACACATTTTGCAATGTGGCAAGAGGAAGATATTCTTCTAGAATCACTTAATTACAGATAACCACTGCCATGAAATCCTCATCACTGCTAAACATTCCAGCTTCTTGAAATAAACATTTAAGATTTGTTACATCCTAGCTTGTACACATTATCTAAGGAGAAAACCTAGAGGAGAGGATTGTGTAACTAAACATTTGGGGAATCTCCCTGAATTTATCTCTAGTTATGGGAGGGTTATTTTTTATTTTGTAATATTTCCATTCTTCTAGATTTTCATTCTGATAATGAATGTTTTGTCATTTTAGAAATGTTATTATTTAGTTGCCTTTAAATAAAATGCTTTCCCAGTATTTAAAAACTCAAATACCTGTTTGTTGTTGTCTGGTAGACTCCTTACACACAGGTTCTCCAGAGGAATAATACCTATCGGGTCTTTATCCTGCAGGAAGAGGCGGATATTAAACACAGATTCAACCTTTAAACTCCAAGTAGAATATTTACTGTTGAAGCAAAGGTTTTGTAGCAGCAGAAAGACAGATACTTACTGTGGTGTATTCAAAGTAGTACAAGCAGCTGTCTGTTAAAATAAACCACCTCCTCTTCCAGGTTTTAACTCGCCCACCTTCAACAAAGACAAAATAATTGTAAGAAAACGTTTTCTTTTTGTAATCTTCTCTAAATACAACAGCATATTAAAGCTTTTTGAGTTTTAAGTAAATCAATTATTCTAAGGGTAAATGTTCGATTTGATCTTTTTTTTATGGTTAATGTACACATTTATTCTCAATTAATTTGTATCAGAGAATTTAAGCTGCCCTCCTCTGGCTCCGCAATCACAATTAGTTTTTTTACTTACAATGGCCCTAATGCACAGGAGAGTCTAAAAGCCTCCAGCCTTATCTTCTGTGTTACAAAAACATCATCCTCTCACCCATTTTAAGGAGCCAGCCTTCTCGGTCTGGATTAAAAAACGTCAGCGTGAGGTCGTTCCCATCATCCTCAGGGATTTTGAATGGCTCGCTGCGGATGCTTGCATAAAGTTTCTGGAAGAGATGACAATTTCAACATCAGATGTAGAATATTTCAAGTTTTCGAAAGTCTGGTTTCCCTTAAAAAATGTCAATCAAACCAGAGTTTTGGCTAAAGTCTACTGTTGTCTAAAGGCTCAAAAACAACTTGTTCATACAGTATGTTCCACAGCCAAGGAGAAAAAACCTGTACAAAATTATTTTGGCAAGAAATGTGTAAACGTATCCTGCACTAAACTCAATATGAGAATAAGTTATCTTTTTCCAACTTTTATATTTAGTAAGCAAGCTATTCCTCAGGTCTTTTAGTAAGCGGTCTCATATCAGAAAGATTTCCTTTAAACCAAACTACACATGGCAACAAGCCTTTCGTACTTCCTTCCGCACTGTGATGTGATTGGACGGTGTAGTTCACTTGAAACTGCTCACAACAAGTTTTGTTAATTATATTAAGACATTGCTGTTGAGATTTTAACATGTATTTTTAGTCTCTGAGCAGCAAAGGATCAGTGCCATCTAGTTCTGCTATATGACATTTATATGGCATTTTCAATTCAACTCTGAGGTGAACCATCCCTTTTAAACAGAAGTATTGGTAATAGCATCAGACCATGAGCAGTTCTGTGGGCAGATCCTCTCCGTGGTTGATTCCTCTGTTCATGGAAATGAATCGCTGCAGATTGGGTTTGTCTTTCACGTTGGGGTTGTGGAGACTTGTGTTGAGCATAATGATGGCAAAAGACAGGATGTAGCATGTGTCTGTAACACACATCAACACAAATACACACAACACAGTTAGTTTCCTTCAGCTGTTCATCATCAAATAAAACCCCATTATAAGTAAAAGGCAGAGATGAGAAGATAGCAATGCTTGTTGTGATTTGTGAAAAGAAAGAAATATAACAGTGGATAACTTGTCTTCTACAGATATTTATGAAATTAGGGAAACTTTTTAATTGGACTGTCTGAGAAAGTGAGTCAGGCAGCGCCTTTGTTGTTCGTACCCGTGGATTGAAAGACCCCTGGGTTACAGTCGCAGTAGCGAGTTGCAAACGCCTCCATCATTCTGTCAATCTTCTGGGCTTCTCCCGGGAGACGAAAGCTCCAGAGGAACTGTCTGCAAGATGGCAGAGGAGTCAAACAACATGCATACACAATATCAAACACACTGTGAAGAAGGAGGAGAAGTCCCTCATCATCAGAAAACAAGAAAAAAGGTAAAACTGCTGCAACGTTTTTTGCTGACTTTCAAATAAATTCTGCCAGACGAACCTCAGCGCCTGCACCAGATTCAGGTCGGAGAATTCATGCAGGCCCACAAACTCTTTCAGTGTCTGCAGATGCATTTCCTCCCTGTGTGAAATTCAAATATAGTTAACACAATGTTAAGATGCAGTGTAAACCCTTTAATAAAAAAAACATTTACATGCGGAATGAGTACATTTGGCCGATAATTGGCTGGAGGTGTTCATTGCACTGGTTCTTTTGATTAAAGTAAATAGTACTTATTCAACCACTGCTTTTGATCTAAATGAATGTTTATGCTTCATTTTGTGGCATCAGGATATATTTCAGCCACGGTTTTCCTCCTGAAGTTACATCCTGACCTTTGACGGCACCCGCCTGTCATTCAAAGCAACCAGTGATACGGTTTAATAACTTTAAGCCCGAGTATATCTTAAACAAGTGAGTTTTATAAAAGTGACATCCCGTGCAGTGGTCAACAAAAGGGATATAAGCTATAGACCCCAAAACCATTATTTCAAAAACGTTTATTTCTGCTCTAATTCTGGCCATTTTAACGTGGGGGTCTTTGGAGATCGACATTTTGGAGCCAGCCTCGAGTGGCCGTTCGATTATTTGCAGTTTTGTGCACTTTAGCATAGACTGCGCTAATGACGCAGGAGCACAAAGTACCAATGAACTGGCCAGATGTATGGAGAACCGGGATGACTGGAAGCAACGATGGAGGGCTCGTCTGAGGACGACCTAGAGAGCGCTGCTTTATTACAACCCATTTCAGTTAGTTACCACCAGGCTCACATTTTGTCTGAGCACTTTACCTGTCTCCCAAGAAGTTGCCAATGGCGGTCTTGTTCAGTCCCTCCTCTTTGTAAAGAAACTCAGCCACTGACTCTGCTCGCCATTCCAGCAATTCATTTTCCACTAGGTAATGGACACCCTGTAAAAACATTAGCATGCAAATCAGTTATGTCCATGTTAACAAAGAGTACCTTATATTTTGATTTAGTACTCAAAATAAAACCCTACTGAACAAGAACACTGAAGTAATGGAAGAAGCTGACATCAATGGTGGTGAAGACAAGTCCCATGATCCTACACTACTTTACGACGCCACTAAACTCCATCCTTTGTTATTGTTTTGATTAAGAGACCCATGGGCAGCAGAATGGTTTTTGCTTATAACGGTCATTCAAAATCACACAATGCTATTGTACTGTCCCTTTTGACATGATACAAAAAATGCTTTACACCTATTTTATTTACATTTTTGTATTTTAAGTTTTGAACTCTTGGTTGGACAAAACAAGCAGTTTGAAGTCACCACATGGGCCCTGGGAATTTGTAATGGTAATTTTTCACTACTTTTGACATAATTCTATACAGTCCCTGGGGTCGGGTTTGATACTGCAGTTAAATGAACTCTTCCTGGTTTCTAGGAATTTATGAAAACACAATTATCAGTCAGAAAATGTGGGATATACTTAAATAAATATCAGCAAGTGAACATAAGTTGTATAATGGCCCTTTTTTTAGCTAATAAATGGAGCATCATAGCATCATGTGATTCGATGAATAAATGTAGTTTACAATGGAGCATTGAAGTGGATTAGTTTGCTAGATGTTATATTTGAGGGGGGTGGAGAAAGGGCCATTATGTTAATGTTTGTGTAAGTTGACTAAAGGTCACTTGCAGGCATTAACATTTCTTTAGCTAGTTTGAAATGTGGATTGAATATTGGCTTTTCCTATAGAAACTGTAGTTTGTGAACGTCCCTGACAAGCTTTTATGTTGGCCAAAGCTTGTTTATATTCTTATCAGCAGTGCCAACTCTGCAGGTTGATAATCAAGAAAGTTTTCTTCTACTCCTCTGAGTCACTCTTCGTCATTGATCACCGTGAAAAAGAAGGCGAAAAAGGTTAGCACACCTTTATCTTACTAAATCTCAAAGCATGTTCACATCCAAAACTTCGAATATGACCTTTTCTTCTGAGTGTGCACTCCTGTTGAGTAGCTCTTCATATCTATTGCACTTTCAAAACCCCTTTAACCCCAAGAAGCCTTAAAACTTCTCCTCCTCCCACTTGTACGTGTCCTCAGGCCTGGGCTCATAACGGTCACGTGCCGAGGGACTCAGTTTTTAACCGAGTACGCAGAGAGGAAGCAGCGAAAAAGACGTAGGTCGCTGTGGTGAAGTGGCGCTTCTGCACCACTTCAGGGAACAGGATGTGGCTGTTCTCGCTATTCATCATCCTCTGCATCTGTGCACAGTTTGCGTTTCTGCACAACACACACACACAGACAGACACATACTCTAATCTACATCAGCTCTGTGACAAGTTATATTCACTGTCATCAGACTGTTGACCTTCAGATCCAGGGGAGCTTAAGTCAAAAGTTTGATTTGACCTTCTACCCCTTTACTCACTGTAGCATATTTTTTAAATGTTGAATATAATTATTCGATTGTTATAAAACAGGAAATAAACTCACCTTGTTTGGGTCCATGTTGAATTTCTTTTTCCCACGTAAGAATCTCTTGTTCCTCACAACATTTTTACTGCAATAAAGGAACACATTTCAAATCAATTTTTACATTAGTATATCATACAACATAAATACAATTATTAAATAAAGCAGACATATTATGCTCATTGACAAATTCATACTTTTCACCCTCTGTCTGAAACCAGAGCCCAGCCTGCTCTGATTGGTTAGCTGGCTGTCTCTGTGGTGATTGGTCAACAGCTTAGAGATCATCCACCCATTAGCATATCACAACCAATGTGTGGGGGTGCCAGCCAATAGAAGCGAGTTTTACATAGTGATGTCACTATGTCATTGAAGTAAACAAAGGGCTATAATTGAGGATTGTGGGAGAGAAACTCCCTCTGCAGGGAAAAAGTCATGTTTTTGCAACTGTGTAGTCTGCTTTCTCAATCTGGATACAGCATCACATTTTTGCAGTTTTACTACTGTATATTTATATGAAATACATAAAATCATAAAGACATTTCAAAAACAAAAACATTATATGTTGGCGTGTTGCTGAGGCTCAAAATGTTTAAACGAGAAGTTATTTGGAGTTTTGACTCGACTTGATAATAACTAGACTGATAAATCAACTATTAAAACTATCAACATGTTTATCAATTAATTTTCGGTCATTGAACTATTCACTAAAATAAATTCCTCAGAGCATTATCTGAATTGTTCTTAAAGGTGTATCTCATAATTGTATTTATAGTTTTTGGGTGAGATTAGCAGTCCAGTAGCCTACTGATAACAGTGTTTATCAAGCCAGTAGCACAGTTATAGCAAAATGAAGTGTCATCATACAGATGAAATGCAATTTTTACTTTCTGAAATCAGCGTCAAAAGCAATAGCAAGTCAGCCACATGCACATAATCTCTTAAAATGTTCACAAGACTTTGAACATCAGTGAATAACAGAAGTACTTATACTCCATGGTTCATAATACATTTGAATATCCACATTTAAGTCATGTGTTGAGAGTGCACAAGAAATAGTTGGCAAGCAAGTAAACAAGTAAAGCTACAACTACAGATAAATTGTTGAAATGTAACTAAAAGTAATGATTAACAGCTAAAACAGTAAACCTGAAAGTGGATCGCAAAGTCGCTAAGAGCCCTGGATAAACAATATAAATAGTCATAATAGTTGAAATTAAAATGTTTCGTAGCTAAAACTAGAAATAAACTATAAGTTGAAATAATTATTGCCATCTTTAACTAAAGTTGGCAAACTATCTAAAAACAATGGATGAACAGTAAAAAAACAAATTAAGATAAACAGTTGGAATAGTTGGCTAAAAGTAATGTCATTGTCTGAATAAGTAGGTCAATCTAAAGGATAAACAGCTGAAATTGTAATCAAAAGGAATGGATCAATGGTTCAAATAGTTAGCTTGACGTTCTGGATAAACAGTTGACAGAGCTGTGAGGCTGCAATCGAGGAACCACTGATACAGGCTATGTCAAGTAGAAGAAATGCAGTTCTAAAAACATCAGGGTGAAAGGTTTGAGTGGCAGGTTTACAGGTTACACTGCAAGTGCAGCATCTAATCGAAAATATGTTGACTTCTGACTCAAAAAGAAAAAGAACAAAATGCTGCTTGTATGAAATGTTCAAACTGAGCACTTACTACAAGTGAAGTGGTAGTCTGCCAGTGTCGCTTAAATAAGAGCGAAAGACCGTGCTGAGTCATAGAGAAGCTGATCTATATAAAAAAAAAAAGCAAAAAAATACTCACTTCTGCTCCTTCATTAAGGGGTTGTGGATATCTGGCATGACGTGATTGATTTCCAACCTCAGCTTCTGAGACAGGGAGATGAGAATGAGAGCAGTGAAGTAAGCTTAGTACCAAGATGTGTCATTATTACAGATCCCCATAGAATCAATGCTTGATGACTCAGGGCCGGTTGGTCCCCGTCAGTTATAAAAGAGGATCTTTAAATAATATTTCATTGAAACTTGTTGAATGAAATGCCTTTGTGTGCTGAGAGCTTTGTCAAGGCAGCCAGGAGAAGAATAATGAGGGATTTATTGTAAGACCTTGGAGGGATATATTTACCACATTACCTGAATGTCATCCAGCATTTGAAATGTGTGAATCCCATAGGTGTCACCATCCCTCCTCTCTCCTGGGGCTAGTCTTGGTGGACCTGGGGAAAAAGTATATTTGGGAAGGCAATCAGTAGACATTCAGCAGCACTGTGCACTTTCTTGACAACCTAGCTCACGCCTCCGCTCCCTCTCTCACAGACTAGCATACATCCAAACGTCCTCCTAGTTAGTGGACAGTAAGTAGGGAATGAGGTCTAAAAACATCCCTTTCCTCTTTACAATGAATAAGGTTAATTTTGAGTGCACTATGGCCTTTAAAGGACAAATCATGTTATTTTGTGCGAATGTGTTAATGGGGGGATGATTTGAAACCGATTAAAAAGCAAGTTAAAGGCACAATATGTAATGTTCTACCACAAGGGGACTCTCAATGAACAAATACCAAGAGTTGGTTGGTGTCGTGTAGTAGCATGGGATAATGGGAGGGTTTCTCTTCACCACCAGTTTCACCGAGTTAGGATTCTTTCATTTTCATCATTCAGGAAGTTTTTGGGTGCCCATTAAAACCAGTAAAAAAACACAAATATATAGCAATTTTAGTTAAAAATCAGCGATTCTTCAATGCTGGCCAGTGGAGAATAGACTTAAAGGAGGGGTAGGTAATTTTGGAGAAACCAGCTCGAGTGCGCTAGAATTTGAAAATACACAACCGGAAACAAATCTGCCCCTTCCTTACAGAGCCCCTCCTCCAACACACACGAACGCGCACATGACCAATGAGGGCACGAGATAAGTTTGTGCACAGATGGAAGGCTGACAGGCAGGTAGGCCATCCAGTTACTTTAGCCGGGCCGGCTCAGATGATTGGTCGTGCTTTTTACAGCGCCACGGCTTCCACAGATGAACATTTTGTTATGGATTTTTTGTCAAAGCACTTCAGATATTCATTGCTATCGGGATGTTAAGAGCATTCCATGGAATATAACAACAAGTGTTTCTGAAATAAATTACATACCCCGCCTTTAAAGCATGGAGACATGACATTGAAGGTTTAAGAAAAAAAACTCATGACGGGACGGGGGGAGGCACCGACAATAACATGTGTAACTTTTTGAGGTACCGACATAAGGCCCTAATAATTCTTGGTTAGAAAACTAAATAGGTACATAATTAGGGCTTTGGTTAGAAGGAGATTCTCTTTTCTCAACTCATTCCACTTTTCCTAGTCCTTCTCCTCGTCTCCTCCTCCTCCTCCTCCTCCTACTGACTCCACACCCTGACTCTCGCGAATTCCTTATGTTCCTGGTTGGTCCATGACATGTAATGCGCCCGAAGACCCCTCCCCGGTTGGTTCCGTCCACGAACCTGGGGGTAAACACTCAGGGGGAAAGTTTCCTTGTGTACTGTAAACACTATACCACAACGTCGGTTAATGACTGATATTGGGCCCGGATATCATGTGGTTAGTACACAAAAAAAAATATATTTACATATAATTTATTTATCTTAGATTCAATGATGTTTATAATTCCTTAATTTTATTTTGCCAAACGACGTTGTTCACTTACTAAATAAGGGGGTATTGACGTAAATTCAATTACCGACGCGATTAATGATTTTTATTTTTAACATTGGTATCAGTAACTGTGTTTAAGACAAAAAGATTTGTTTTTTATTGATTAACCATAAAATACAAAAACAACAGGAAATACCCTGAAATATCTTACAACATGACAGAAAGCATAGGAACCAGGTCGTAATTTACACGGGGAAAGTAAATTTATTAGACGGGGGTCGTTCCGGGGGGGTCAGTTTAACCAGAATCTTGGCAGGTTAACCATGACATTTGAATTATATTTTTCGGAACCCACATAACAAGCTAGGGGAAATACCATAGTCTGTAGAAGGACAGAGAGAGAAATCTAAGTCAGTTTGGACCCTTTTTTAGTAAGGAGTTCTCTCCCCGACCTGTTCAGACCGTTGAAGGAGACTCTCCTTTTCAGAACGAGGAATGGGCTTTCCGTTCAGTTTTGTGAACATGTCGTGGTGTGTGCAGAGTGGAGTGACTGGTGGGAAAAAAACTTGATGATTGGGATTATTGGTTAGTCGGGAAAATTATTTACTATCCTCATCCGTATAACAAGTGTAACCAGGTTGTGAATATGTGTGTACTTATGGAGAAATCAAATAAGGAATCAGACTTGTTCTTGGTCGACCAACCATGGTGGATCAACCCAGTCCCTACTGGTCGTTAGTTTCCTTTTCAGGCTGTAAAATGAAATGTAATTTTTCCGTAAGCAAGTAAAAAAATATGAAATTAATACGTTTGTTTTAACTGGAAATAATTGAAAAGTCCAACCACTACCAAATTTCCACTAAAAATAAACATAGCACATGTCGCAATGATAAAATAAATTGTTGAAGTAATAACACCACCTTATTATGTTTTCTTATAAAATTAATCACAAAAATAATATTATTATATTGAAATATATGCGTGGAAAGGTTTTTAACCTTACATCTGAAAAAGTATTTTTATGTGTTTCCGTTTCATCTTCATTTTGTCGTAAGATTGTATTGTCGTCTATCTTGTATAAGGTTTTGTTTTTTTAATTAGAATGTTATTGTGTGTTTATGTAGTGGTAGTTTTCTCACAAGTAAAATTTCACAAAGGAACCTACCGAGACCTTCATATAAGCAATACATTCAAAAAAGTTAACAATTTTACAGGGGAAAACTGTCAAAACAATATACATATAGTAAAGTAATAAGAGAAGTACCAAACAATTTTCGGTCCTAAAGTGACACAAAATAAATTCCTTTTATAAATGAGTATGATAAATATTTATTACTAACGCAATATCGAAAATATTTAATTTACCATGGGGTTCTCCGGGATGAGGGGTGCATAAACAAACAGTCTTGGAAATGTAATAATGATTAATGAATTAAAAATGTTTATTACAACAACGATATTACCGTCTTTAACCTTTCCAATGTACTTTTAATTTCCCGGTAGTTTTATTAAAACCTTTCCGTCGAAACTACAAAAATTCGAGTGAATAACCTTGGTGAAGTAATTGGAGGGGAAAGTCCCAGGTTGCCGAGATTCCAGACACTATAAAGGGTCGTAGGAGATTCTCGCCCGGACAGGTCCCAACTCAGGACGACCCCTTGTGTTAGCCAGGTTAGTGTCGGTTTCTACATGACTCCGTGCCCATTCATTGTACAAGGACAAACAAAAGTCGAACCGTTAGATCGTCCCAAGTTCCGAGGAGCCCTCTTTCGGGGACCCCGTCCATTTGTATTCAGTTGGTACTATTTATGTGAAGTCTAGTTAGGTAATAAACATGAGAACACCACTGGACATTTTAGTCGTTGTCGTGGGTATGTGGTTGAAAAGAGAAACGAGATCTTATATTCACNATTTAATAATCGCAATTACAATTATTGACCCAAATAATCAAGATTATGATTTTTGCCATAATCGAGCAGACCTATTTCAGACAGGTTTTTATATAAATGGATCAGGACAAAGAGAGAGGGGGTCTTTTTTCCTGAAACTCTCAGAATTTCTGAACACAGAGGAGACTTATATAAAAAAACATGGAAAAGTGGATTTTGCATAATAGGTGACCTTTAAAGGCACCCTTTTTCAATTTCCCCTCAAGCTAGCTTTAGCGTGTGGTGTTTAATCCCATCATATGTGCGGTAACGCTGTGTTTAAAGAGGAGACATATAAAGAGGGAGGGCTTTTTGAAAAGGATGGGGAGGCTGGCTGGAGGGAAAAATTGCTAAAGAGTGGATTCCCCTGTGGCCGTGGGGATTCGGCTGGCAACAGGGAGCTGAGAATGGCTGGTGCGCCAGCGTGAAATTGCGCTGGTGGGCACCGAATGGCTGCAGGAGTGCGGACCACTTTGAGGGTCTGCTAATCAGCAACACACAGACACATGAGCCGACTCGCAGCTGTGCCACGGGATAAACGCTCCCCCGGCCACAGCAGCCACAAGCTGACTTTATTACCCACGGATAACCTGCCCACAGCCATGGAGGAAAAAATGGCAGTTCCAGGAAGTGGAGCACCGGAGACCTTATAGATGACAGCACGGTCACAGATCACATGGGCGAAGAAGAAGTGAGCTCCAGGTTAAGAAGTGCGAGGCTATGAACTATAGATGTGAAGGCGTGAGTCTGGGCAGGCAGAGCGGTGGCTGATCATAAAAAGTCTGGCAGATAAGGCGGAGTGAGTAGAAAAGCAGCGTGTCAGAGAGTAAGAGAGGAAGGTGGCAAGGTATAAAAACAAAAGAGAAACAGCGCGGTGTTACAGGGAGATAATAGGCAGCAGAGTGAGGAACAATAAAGACTGCTGACGCAAGCAGGAGTGTGTGACTACAGCAGATAATGAAGAAGAGTTAGGAGTGTACCTCCGTAATGGGGTGGAGGCCCGCACAGAAGAACCACGGCTTGACCCTCTCTCACCGACACAGTGTTCCTGGACTTCATGCTAAAGTTCTGCAGAACTGTTGGATAGAAAACAAACACAACTTTTCCTTGTTTTGCAGCTGAAATAACTCAAAGGTGACTTCCAGGGAGGGCATTTCATTCTGCAGAATACACTTCCTCTGTCTGATTATATCACAGTGAAAGCAGGTGATTTGGCAAAGGGTGCACCAAAGCGCCCCGAGAGATTTATTTCACCTTTAATGAAGAGAATAAACAGTGGGAAGACATATCCATCCCCAAGTCTTAGAAATACCAACTAAATCCCAGGAGGGACCGAGCAAATATCAGCTGTGGTCAAATCAAAACTGGTCGGATAATGAATCCTACAAATTACAGAGTATGGCTTCATGAAGTCTGTATTAACCAGGAAGTTAGCTCGTAAATCAATCTGAGGAGTACTTAAGGTTTGATTATGGTAAACTGGGATGATTTATTGTTTTTGTGGTTTCATTATCTGGGTCTCCTCTATTAGGCGCTTTCACACCGCAGTACTTTTCCCAATTTAGTTTCGATATAGTTCCGAAATGTCGCGTTCACACCAAAAAAATCCAGAACTAAAATTTGTTCATGAGAACCTTTTCACCCCCTTTTCTGTCCCTGCTAGAGAGCAGGGGCTTTCGTGGGAGAAAAAGGTTCCTATTTCTGATTGGCTGGGCGGATTGAAAACCACGCCCCGTAAAACTCCCAAAAAGATTTTTGAAGCCGCCATTTTATTATCCTCGCATTGCATTATTAGCATTAGCCTAGCGCACAAACGCAGAGAGACTTCGGGTGGCAGTATACGCCGTGAAGTGGTTTGCGGCCTGCCAGTAAACCCAAAACAGAAGAAGAAGAAGTGACGTCAGCGGCTTCATTTGCCTAATCCACCCCCAGGGACTTATTCCGGTGTGAACAGGATCTGTACTTAGTTCATCAGAACTAAAGAGTTCTGATGAACTAAGTTCTCATGAACCTTTGTGGGAAAAGTACTATTCAGTCCTCATTTCCTCATATCACTGGGCTAGTAAAAGAGGTAACACTTTCAATTGATAATTGACATGCAGATTGACATAAAATCAGAGATGGCACACTTGGATACAAGGTGTGCTCAGAAAAAATACATTATGACTCTTATGACATGCGACAATCACATTGTCATGCCCTACCCAGAGCTCTCAGCCTCATAATGCAGTGGAGGCTTTTCCTGAGACGAAGCTTATTGTCGTTTGGATTGTTCAAAGCAATAAATATGAACACAGCAGCCCAAAAAAAACTGGCGAGAGCAGATGACAAAAAATGTTCCCATACAACAAACCTGCATGGCCAATTTAGTTTCTAGGGCAACGTTTGGTTTGAGTTATCAAAAGAAAGAAGACGTTTGGGGTGGATGGTCTGCAACGCCATTTTGTAGACAACAGGGTTGAACCAGTAGTAACCAGTTGAACAAAAAAAGGAGCATGTTACCAATATTGGATTTTAATAAACTCTAATAAATAAACGTGAAAATTAGAAAATAGATCTATAACCCAACTAGCACCCATTGAGCATAATGTCTGGCATGTTAGCATGCATATATAACTAGTTTTACAAATGAGAGTACCATGGGGTAGCTTATGTGCTATGTAAGATTAAGAAAATGGCATGTAAGACAGGCCAACATGTATCCAGATATTTGTCAAGTGTTGATTTACAGACCATTTTACAGACCAACTACTCTGCTGCTCCTAGAAACACACTTATAATACATACTGTACGTACATGGTCAAAAAAGTAGTCCGTTTAATTTCTTAATTAGAGTAACATTTGATTATTGAATAGTGGATACAGATCAACATTCTTTTTTCAATCCATTATTTATTAAGAAATGGTTAAAGCATGTATTCACAAAATGCTCTGGGTTCACTGGTTTGGCTACTCTGTTATGACATGTCACTTCATATTATTGGTTTTTAGGTTGTTGATCTGATGGTCTATGATTAATTAACCACCAACACATGAAATGTAGCAGGCCTAGAAAGAATATTTAATTATACTATTTAGTTGTGTAACAGTATTCTCAGAACGGAAATCCACTTAAAACTCACATGCAAACTGGACCTTTGCCTCCCTGCTGACGACAGTCCCGAATGTGTTGGTGGCGATGCACTGATACACTCCTGCATGATCCATGACACGAGGGTCACTGATCAGCAGGTTCCCCTCCACCAGGCTGAAGTTCGGATCCGACTCTGTGTTTATCTCTCTCCCATCCATTTTCCACCTGTAGGAACATCATCAAAATATATAATCTTTCCAATGAATACCACTGAATCCACTGAGTACCCATGGGTAAAAACATAATTACTCTCTGGCTACGGCTTCAAGACTACATCGAAATGCAAATGAAGCTAACACAGCAACACGGCCTGGTATCATTCACAGCTCAGAAGAATGCTTTGTACCATCATTTCCACATACACTGCACCTTATACACGGTCAAAGTGCAGGCAAAACACGTACCGATAATGAGGAGTTGGGTTTCCTCTTGCGTTACAATTAATGAACACCTGCTTATCGTCAATGCTCAGGGGGAAAATGCTGTCACTCGGCTCCTGGGTGAAGACAGGACCATGGCGTGTATTCTCTGTGCGGGGAAAAAAAAGACTTAGCTGCACAATGATGAGATGCAAGTGACATTGAATTAATGTAAAAATAAATCACTCAGTGCTCAGAAAGCTGTATGTTACTCTAGACCCATATAATTAGCTGCCAGCGCTGCACTTTGGGTGGATTCTGCATTTAATAAACCGTCTTGTTCACATGTCAAGAGGCAGGTGCGATGAGAGAGCAATTACCAAAGATAACCCTGCACTATAACTGGCATTTGAGCTTTAAACACGAGTCATGAAGTTATCTTATATTTTTTATAAATTTAGGAAGATTTTTTTGAATACGGAAATAAATGTTTTTTTTATATTTCTAGTCCGAATGAAAAGACAGCAATAGGAAGTGGGAAATAAGTTGGTTTTTTTACATATTTTTGTTGCACTTGTGAATTGTCTAAATCCCTTCCCCATTCGTGATGATTGCAACGGCTGTGTTTGAGTTACATTTGTCGTTTTTGGTAAAACATTTGATATTGTTCCTTCTAGACAATTTAAAGGACGAGCCTTGGCACTTGGGCCACCATCCATCACATTTTAAATTTAACGTATATAAAAATGCAAACAGCGAACATGACAAAATATCACGACATTACTGAAAAAATGTGTTTGGCTTCGGTGAAAAACACAACACTTTTATAATTTGTGGTTTGACTTGAATTTTGTCATATTTCTGCATCCTCTACTAGAGCAGTGGTTCTCAAACTTTTTCTGTCAGGCCCCCTCTTTGGAGAAAAAGAAAAGTTGGGCCCCCCCCCAACACAAGTCAGGCTCAGTGGCGGCGCCAGATATTTATTTTGGGGTGCTGTGGGATAGCTTGATGTTTCATAGAGGGTGCTCAAACATTTAGGGTTTCCCATTAATGTACCGGTCGCTACAGTGGAATTTTCTACTGCAACAATCCCCACGCATATACACACGTGTCCTGCAACTGTTACAATGAAGGCTCGATAATCAGCTCACGGCATATAGGTGTAAGCAGGGGTAAAGTTCTATTTTTATAAGTGGGGAGTGGACCTAACATAGGGGGGTCCGGGGACAAGCTCCCCCGGGAAGATTTATTTCTAAATATTGAAGTTGAAAGCATCAATCTGGTGCACTTTGAGAGCAAAATGAAGAGATCTATGGATACCTCTCTCAACACCCATATGAAACAGAACTGTAAACAGATTTACTATTTCTTTATGGATATTTTTCAAATCACCCTTTTAAACTTTATTATTTTTATACTGTCATATAGTATTTCATACCTGTTTTTCATTTATTCTTTTTTTTTAATTAGTGATTCATATAAACGGTGCCTCGAAATAATTTCGTTTACATCGATAACGTTGAAGCCAGCTGAGATAGACTTAGACTAAAGTTAACTTATCTTGGTCACACTGAGGCTCTCAGTTCTGACAGGAGAAGAGCTCTCCTCCACTTTGTTGTTGAAAAATTCTTATATGTTAGGCGAGCTCGCTAGCAGCTAGAGGCTAACAACAACGATCTCTGGGGGCCGTGCGCTCTTCCTCTCTCCGCGACACGCACACAAAATGGCTCGTCACACCACACAGAGGCCGAGGCTTTAATAAAACAGCAGAACACAGACGTATAGTAGCGTACTGTATCATGATATTTCGAATTCAAGTAATTTTTGAATTATGATGTTTTTTATTTTTGAATCTTTTTTTTTTAATAACCATTTTCCCTACGCTGTCTCGTCGTCCCCCCTCTCCTCGCGCCCCTCAACTTTGAGACCACTGTCTCTAGAGACTGCTTTTCTAGATATTTTGTAAAAAATTGAAATGTATTTGAATGGTTCCTGGCTAACGTCAACATAACATTTTACAATACATCAAGTTCATANGGTAGGTATGTTTGAGAAACGTGCTCGAGATACAGTTTGTTATATTCCATGGAATGCTCTTAACATCCCGATAGCAATGAATATATGAAATGCTTTGACAAAAAATCCATACAAACATGTCATCTGTGGAAGCTGTGGCGCTGTAAAAAGCACGACCAATCATCTGAGGCGGCCCGGCTAAAGTAACTGGATGGCCTACCTGCCTGTCAGCCTTCCATCTGTGCACAAACTTATCTGGTGCACTCATTGGTCATGTGTACGTTCGTGTGTGTTGGAGGAGGGACTCTGTGAGGAAGTGGCAGATTTTTTCCAGCTGTGTATTTTCAAATTCTTGCGATCTCGAGCTGGTTTCTCCAAAATGACATACCCCACCTTTAAGCAGTGTCAAATTGATATACAAAAATATTAATGATTCTAAATGATGTATAAACAAATAATCTACTTTATCACACATCCGAAAAGGGGAGGGAAGAAGTGTACACTGATTTAATCTCACCCCTTCTCCCAACAACTACATTATTAACACCTATATATAAATATATATATTTTCTTTTTCTTAAAGAAATACATTTGTTATTGAAAAACAAACAAACAAACAAAACAACAAATAAATAAACAGATACATGAAAAAAACAAATACATATACAATCCTTTGGTTTATAGGTTGTCAGTGTAGCTTTAACAACAATAGTAAGATGTATTACTGATTTACTGCTGAAGGAGAGCTTTGTTTGAGAAAAAGGTGTTTGTCAAATCTAAATAACTTGAGCAGTGTTACCTCTGGTGTCAGCGGCTGACCGTTCTTCAGCCATCTGTACGCCGGCCTCGGCTTCCCACTGGCTTTACATTCCCACTGCAGATTAGCATCTATTGCCATATGAGCATCTTTCAGTGTCTGGACCCAGTGCAGATGCTCAACATCTGTGAAAAATACCAACACGTAAATATTAATCGGAAAAGATTTCAACATACTTTGCAGCTCGATTTGGTTTTACCAATATAATGCAATAAGAGGTCAACTTCATTATTTGGTAAAAGAAACCCAACTGTTTTTAAACTATAGGGACTTCACTGTTTCCTCTTATTTTTCTGTCCTATTTTCCCTGCTTTAATGTTTAAGGCAAGGCAAGGCAAGGCAAGGCAAGGCAAGGCAAGGCAAGGCAAGGCAAGGCAAGGCAAGGGTAAGATGTACACGATTGTAAGGCCAGGGGATGATTTGAATTTGTTTTATACAATTGTATACGTATTGCACAGTAGGTGCAGTTCAAGGATTTGAGAGCAGCAAGTTTGAAGCAGAAATTAAAATGCTACAAAGTACTACCATAAACTATAGCATCAAGATTGCAAAAGTCTGTTTATTTATGCTGCAGTTGAACTCCTTCAGAGAAAGAAGTAACTTTACTCATTAAAGGATTTATTTCATGTGGATTTGTTAGTAAAGGTTTATATCACGTATCTGCTTTGAATTGAGGACCTAAAGCACCTTGAATGGCTTTGTGTCATCAACCTCTTACGCCTTCATGTTTTGCACATCTGACATGAGATGCTATAGAATCAGAGGCAGGTAAGTTAATCAACGTGAAACCAAAACTCATCTTTTCAATTTCGATATCAACAAGTTCAGTAAACGAGGACTTTCTCTCATCCCTCTGTCTACAGAACACAGTTGTGTACATTCACCGAAGCAAACGGTGACTCATTTCAAAGCTCTCAGTTTGAAAGCTGGTTTATTTGATTGTATGGAAGTTACCAAAATACCCTGACATTTAAATCCTATCTAATTATTACTTCAATGACGCGGTTAAAATAAATGGTCAAATATTTACATCACCTTCACAGTAAGGAGGACAGACAAACTGAATACAAAATAACTACATGTTGTTTGGCTAAAACTCATAATCAAGCATTTTAAATTACCGTTCAAAAAAACACAAAAACTACATTTCTGGATTAACCCTTTAAGTTATTTATTAAACCTGGGGATACAATAATTTGACAGATTGTCAATGTGTAATATTGATGTAAAATCGGTGCAATAACAGTGTATTGTGGTACAGAAAAGGTGTAATATAGGTGTGTTTATGGTGTTATGTAGGTGTAATATTGGTACTATTTGTGTTTTATCTGGGTGAAAGAATGCGGTAATAATGGTGTAATAATATGTGTGTAAAAAAAGGTGTAATATGTTAACGTTAAAGTCTTTTATTGTCATTATACACAGAGTATAACGAGATATGGGTGTCATAATGGTGTAATATGGAATAATATTGGCTTTATTTGTGTCCTTTGGATGTTAAAATGGTTTTATAACGGTATAATACGGGGCTAATGATATATAAATGTATACCCAAATGGTGCAAGATCAAAAAAAAAAGGTCATGTTTTGAAGAAAAATCTTGAAATGTGTAGTTTCAGCTTAGAAAGCAGCTTTCAATTCATTTCAAAATTATTCACAAGTCCTTGTCCATCTAAGGATTACAAAGAAGTGCAGGCATCTCCGTGAAAACACGAAACAAAAGTTTACAAGACTCTTACTCTGGAATAGAAGCTGCCCTCTGGCTACATTTCGTCCTCTGCTGTTTTCGGCAACACACTCGTACACACCGGCATCCTCTGGGCGAAAATATGGGATTTCCAGAACCCCACTGGAGTGGTTGATTTTAATCTTTCCAGGGAGTGGATTTCCATCAGCTCTTCTCCAGGAGATGGAAGGCACCGGGCTGCAGAGGTCACACACAAAAGGTCACGATGGCCACATGCTCCTGCTCACACTGACCAAAAGGACTGCTATGACAATTGTTTCCAGTCCGTTAGTTGTAAAACAGTATGTCTGGCAACTTCATCAAAAGTTGTAAGAAATAAATCAATATACACGTGCCGGAACTTTAAAGTACATTATTTACTGAAGCAGTGCTTCTCCCCGGGAAGTGTGGAGTTACACACTAAACACACCGTGATTAACTCTCACTTATTGACCCTGCATTACCGCTATTAGTATGTGTGTATGACCTATGAACATAAGAAGAATAGTATGAGAAATATCGCGAGACGAGCCGAGGCTACGTCACCGCAAGACTACAGAAGAAGACCCGCCCGTCGACGCCAACCAATCTATGAAGAGTACAAAATGATATAAATGACAATGTACGGGGAAAATAGTTTCTCTGTCATTCTTCGCACCACAGATAGTCAACTGCTCTGAGTGGGCTATGGACTGGTGTGTATCATTTCAGAACCAGCTGTGAACTTTTTTAAAAACCTACCACATCATAGTTTTAATCAATACCCTTACATTTTCCGAGGAGTTTCCTTTCCTCCTGGACTTTGGACGAAAGAACACTTCAACCAATGCCGTGTGAGTGTGCTAATGTTCCTGATACTTACTTTCCTAAGGCGAAGCATTCCAGTTTCACTGATGATCCTTTCGAGATGTGAAGGGTGTCGGGAAACTGAACCTCAATTTTTGGCTCGTATTCGCCCATCACTAAGAGGAAGGATAAATGCAAATCAAATCAGTCGTAATACAGAACACATGCAGTTTCCTGTAATTCAAATTGGATGTGGCACGAGTTACACTGGCAAAGAGCGCGTTGGCATCGTGAACAACAGCGTTTGGCTCGGCGGATGGATGAGTTCGGATTACATATCTCCCTCAGCTCAAATCTGAAGTGGTTCACATAAACGGTCCTGATGGGGGGCTAGTATGTGAGGCGGGCTGCTTGCTGTGTGTGCCTACATGCATTTATGTCAGCACGGACTACATTTCCTGTTATGTAAATATGTGCCTTCATGCTGATAGAGAGCGGGTTCTCGAAGACATAACCCCGTATAGTTCCAAGGATTTGAGAGCAGCAAAAAAAACACAGCTCGTAAACAAAAAGCAAAAACATTGTCACGCTCGAGACAAGCGATTTATCTCCCGGGCTCGCGTGTCAGTTCAGGAGGCAGCGGAGAAGAACCGAGGGGGCTTACCGTCTCTCCGCACCACCACAGGGGTTGGAGAGCTGAGCACTGTGGCGTTGGTCATCATGTTTCTCACCGCACACGTGTAGTTCCCCGCGTCGGAGGATTCAACTTTGGCCACGTACAAGTTGCCTGTCCTCTGAGAGATAAAGCGACGGGCGTCCTGTTGCAGGAAGCTCCGCTGACCGTTGAAAACCCAGGAATATTTGATCTCTGAAAAAAAAGGGAACAGGGTGTAAAAACAGAATCCAGTGACCTTCCCAAAATGACCTGCAAACAGGGAGAGATAGTTTTACAAATAAATTGTATGATATTATATTCCTCGGCTTAAAATATAAATATTAGGTGACTCCAAAGAATAAGGTTTGTGACATTTAATATTATTATTTAAGAAAAAAGACCAAAAACATCAATGAATGGATTATAAAATGTATTTCTAGGGTAGCCAAAGCCTGCCCAGCAAGATGATGTTGGCTTAAATAAGCAAGTGTGCTACTTAGGTACGATCAGAATGTTATGTATGAACTTACTAAAGTTAGCGTATGTATGGTCAAATATGTCGACATTGACTTTTGGTTTAAAGGTCAAACATGAGTCTCCTGGGTAAAAGTCCTGTTTGTTTGACCCATTCATTTTAACATCCTCTCAATACAGACTGTGTTGCTCTCTATAATACATCACTTGGAGTCCTTGTTTGCTCCCGTCATATTAACTACGGCACCTAAAATTCACAGCTCCTCTGTAAGGAAAACATGCTATGCAATAAACGGCTTACACAACTGATGTTAACAGCTGGAAGAAATTCAAGATATACTAACACGTACACAAAGTGAGAATTTGTCCACAGTACATATACTGTATGTACCAAAACCTCCTTTAGATTTCATTCCATTTTTCAAACCGAAAGTCTTCAGTAGGAATGAATTGGCTCGGAAATGAGTCCGGAAGTCAGAGATGGACTAAAGTAGAGTTCAGACAGACCGTGTGAAATAATGGGACTCCCTTATTCCTCTGAATTGCACCGCTGTGTTGCTCAGCGGGGGGGTGACCACACAGAGGTCTCCTTCAACATCAGGTTCGTGCTGAAAAGAAGTAGCTACCTGAACTTCCTCCTGCAATGAACATGTGTAAAGGTACATTTATAGTGGACTATGTGGGCGAAGCATTTCTACTGTTTATTTCCCAACTGTCGAAGCAGAGAATGAAATGATTGCACATTAATGTTAAAACACAGTTTACAGCAAATGGCAGTGTGTTGGCATCTTACCAGCCTTTAAACTCGTGGATCAATTGCTCAAACCTGCTCTCATGGATTTTATTTCGTTGTGTCACTGGTCCCTGAAACAGCAAGCCTCCACCAAATCAGCCCCTAGCGCCTTTTAACACAGCGCAGTTTTCCATCTGAACGCCGAGGTTTAACAGTTTGTGTAATGGTATTTTTTTTTATGTGAATTGTACACAATGAGAAAAACAGAATAACTCTCGCCTTATCTTTGACTAAGAAGCAACGCTAGGAACATCAAGCAACAATGGTATCTAAAAAGCAGATCAAAAAGGTCAAACACGGTGCTACCTTTATCATAGTCTGTGTTTAAGATAGAGCAGGCATTATCTATCCTAGTTGAGCCTTAACTCTTGTCACACACACACACTAACGAGGAGGATTCGTGTCAGAGTAAGGAAAAGAAGGGAATGATGAGAATGTGTGAAACAGACACAGCGGGAGACAGCGAGGCAGAGATGTCTGCTGGGAGATCAGAGGCTATTAGTGCAGCCCTCCTGTATTAGACACATGACATTCTGCAGTCAGCCCTTTTCACTGGGCAGACGGTAACAATGTCCTGCGCGCTTCCTTGAGGGAAAACAGTGAATTAGAATCATTACAGGGAAAAAGTCGGGGCAGAAAGTGACAGAGCTATTATGATTAGAGACCGGGTCTGTTTAAGAGCTGCAGTCTCTCAGCAACAGAGGACTCGCAGGCAAATGTTCAAACGTCCTCTGACAAGAGTTTAACCCTCAGCACGGCTCCTTTTAGACCACTAACGTATTGATTGCACAAAAAAGCTTCAGATGATTCCCCTTTTTTACTCAGGTGCTCCTCGAGTGGTGCATCAACAAGGCATTAAAGGTCCCCTATTAAACTGTTTTTCATCAATATATTAAAGGTCTCAGATATATTCAGAACATGTCTCTGATTTGCTGAAACACTAAACAGATCATTGCAGCATTACCCATAATCCCCTCTGTTTCAGCACTGTTTCAAAAGTGCTGATTCTTTGTCTGTTAGTTTAGATGAAAATAAGGAGCCCCTCCCCACGCCCCTCTGAGAGATATCAGGTGATAAGGGGGGGGGTACCTTGGTTGGTTATCGGCTAAGGTTACAAAACCCCAAAAAACGTTATGACATCATAAAGTGGCCAGAATCTGATCAGCTAACTTTAAGACTAGGGCTGCTCAATTAATCGTATTTTAATCACGATTGCGATTATGGCTTGCAACGATTACTAAAACAACGTAATCGAAATAAAACGATTATTTTTTTATTATTATTATT